GCTCCCCGGGCAGGACTCCGTGCCGCCGGCCGGCCGCGGGACCGTGTGCCGCCCCCAGCCGCCGAGCACCGGCGGGTCGCGCCTTGCCGGGTGGAGCCGCAGGAGTGTGTTTCCCGCCGCGGCCAGGTGCGGAGGGCAGGGCCGGGCCGGGCCGAGCCACCCGCACAGAGGGGAAGGAGCCCGCCCGCGGGGCTGGGGTGGCCAGCCGGGGTCTCTGCCGGGAGGGCGAAGGACGAGGTGCGTGACAGACCGGTTTTTACTTCAGGAATATGCTTGAGAGTCCTGCGGCGCTGCTCGTTTGTCCAGGGGTTACTCCCCACCCTCCTTCGGCAGCAGGGACCGACGCCGGGCGGGGTGGGTGAGAATAGAGGGAGTTTGTGTCTGGCTCTGGGTAGGATCAGCAGGGATCAGTAGGATCAGGAGAGGAATTGCTGTTTGGAGTTAAAGTTTTAAAATATCTCGGGGTAATTTGCCTCTCACCTCGTTCATACGCGCCCCCTAGCTTGGGTGGAGGAAGGCACGCTTCTTGAATCCAGACTTGGCCCGAGTCCCGGTAGAAACCACACGCTGGTGAGCAATTACAGTCTTAAGACTGTCTCAAGACTGAGCCGGGCTTGATGCAGTCTGGGGCCTGTGCTGTAAAATCATTCTGCCCGAGCAACCCTGTGGGAGTTGTGTTCAAGGAGAGAAGTGTGGCAGAGAACTGCTCTGGGGTCCACATGCAATTAGGAAGAAAATTTAAGATCTTGCAATAGATTGTGAGCTTGCTGTTAAATACACTTAACCAGTTTCTCACTGGAAGGACGATGCCTGAATTGTTTTGGACAAAATAGTGTGATTTTTTAGTAAGTGACAACAGGGGTAGCTGTCACAATGACAGTTGCTTGGCTGAAGTCCAAGGAAGGTCTGATGTGCAAGAACATTGTGATTTCTTTTCAGGTCCATTACTGCTATTCAAGAAAGATTATTTAGCAACTTTGCTACTCTTTTGTGACTCATTGCTTTACAAAGAGATATTCTTTGCAGAGCAGTTACAGAGTCACCAAAGTACCGTAGCAACGCTATGTAAGCGTTCAGCCTGAACTCCAAAGTCACTCTTTAAGCATTGAAGTTCCAGGAACATCGTAGAATCATAGAATGATTTGGGTTGGAAGGAACCTTAAAGATCATCTAGTTCCAACCACCCTGCCATGGGCAGGGACACCTTCCATTAGATCAGGTTGCTCAAAGCCCTGTCCAACCTGGCCTGGATCACTGCCAAGGAGGAGGCAGCCACAGCTTCTCTGGGCAACCCGTTCCAGTGTCTGACTACTCTCACAGTAAAAAATTTATTCCTAGTATCAAATCTAAATCTATCCTCTTTCACTTTAAAACCATTACCCCTCATCATATCACTATCCTTCCTGATAAAAGAGTTCCTCCCCATCTTTCCTATAGCCCCATTTAAGTACTGGGAGGCCCCTATAATGTCTCTCCAGAGTCTTCTCCAGGCTGAACAACCCCAACTCTCTCAGCCTGTGCTTATAGGGGAGGTGCTCCAGCCCCCTGATCATTTTTGTGGCCTTCTCTGGACCCACTCCAACAGGTCTGTGTCCTTCTACTGGGAGCCCCAGAGCTGGACACAGTACTCCAGGTGAGGTCTCATGAGAGCAGAGTAGAGGGGGAGAATCACCTCCCTTGACCTGCTGGTCACACTTTTCTTAATGCAGCCCAGGATACAGTTGGCTTTCTGGGCTGCAACAGCACATTGTTGGCTCATAGTCAGTTTTCCATCCATTACTACCCCAAGTCCTTCTCCACAGGGCTGCTCTCAATCCACTCATCCCCCAGCCTGTATTTGTGCTTGGGATTGCCTCAACCCATGTACAGGACCTTGCACTTGTCCTTGTTGAACTTTATGAGGTTTGCACAGGCCATCTCTCAAGCCTGTCAAGGTCCCTCTGGATGACATCCCTTCCCTCCAGCATGTCGACCACACCACACAGCTTGATGTCATTGGTGAACTTGCTGAGGGTGCACTCAATCCCACTGTCCATGTCACCAACAAAGATGTTAAACAGCGCCGGTCCCAATACTGATCCCTGAGGAATGGCACTCGTCACTGCTCTCCCCATGGACATCAAGGTGCTGACCACAACTCTGTGACCATCCAGCCATCTTCTTATCCACTGAGTGGTCCATCGGTCACATCCGTACCTCCAATTTAGAGATAAGGATGTCATGTGGAACAGTGACAGATGCTTTATACAAGTCCAGGTAGATGACGTCAGGTGCTCTTCCCTTAGCCACCAACACTGTAACCCTGTCGTAGAAGGCCACCAGATTTGTAAATGTAAGCTTTTTCTTACCTGTGTAAAAAGCTTTAACCTTTGGCCAATCCCCATAAGCAACTGTGATGAAGAAGTATGGATTATGTTGATATCTTGACTTTTTTGGCACTTGCTCTGCTCTTAAGCTCTTTGGAGTGGAGCACTGAGCTGACACTAGCAAGTAGAGCTCTGGCTAGGCTGATTTTTATCCACTCTACCTCGGCTTCAGGGAGAGATCAGAGAAGTTTGCTCATTCTCCTTATGCTAGGCTGTCCTTGTAGTGTGTTTCTCAGCCTTTATCCCATGTGCTGGAGGTTAGAGTGGTTGTCTGGTCTGTGAGGATCCAAGTGCAGTTCTCTCTGACAGAGTGGCATTGAGACCATCATTTACTTCCTGAGCCACAGGGAAGGAAGTACTTCTGAAGTATG